GAAAAATCCAATGACCTCGTCGGGAATTGAAGCTGTGACTTTCCGGCTCATGGCAAAGTGCCTCCCACGCTTCTCTGGCAACAATTAGTACCATAATCTTGTTCCTGTTCCCAGTTCACCTGAGTTGTTGTAAGTATTTGTCGATTAAGACAACTTTCGTTACAGAGAGAGATATATTGCAGAAGGACGACAATTCCGAGGTCTACTGTCGACTGATTTCAACGCAGGTACAACCCTTTTCACATATTCAATCTGCCATTACACACTCTACATTAACTTCTTAAAATTGACTACCCGTGTTCTAATAAACATACATAACATAAATCAAATTTCCTACCCCAACAATCAAACAGTAAGTCAAATTATATCTCCTAATGATCACGTGTAAATCAAATCCCATATCCTAATGATCGATTTATAAGTCAAGCCTTATATATTCTAACAAACATTTAGTGAATCAAATATTACATCCTATCACGTAACTACTAACCCAAATGTTTATATCTTAACCACCAATCCATCAACCAAAATTTATACATTCTAATAATCAATCAGCCGGTCACGGTAGCGGAGCGGTCTAAGGCATGTACTGTCTTCACTCGCTTGGAGACCGGGATCGTGGGTTCGAATCCCACTCAGGGCATGGATGTTTAGTTTGTGTGTGTGCGTTTTTCTGTGTTTGTGCACAGGTAGAGGCCTTACGACGAGCTGATCACCCGCCCAAGGAGTCCTACCGAATGTGTAAGATCTAGAAAAACCGAAGTGAACGGAGAAGTTCATGGAGGTAGGCCTAGGCCCACTGGGGTTGTAGTGCCAAGGAAAAAAAAATAATCAAGCAATAAAACAAAATTTACACTTCTGTCATTCATTGCCCAAATTTTATAAGCTAAAATCATTAGCCAAATTTTATCCTAACAATCTGTTAGGAAATCAAAATTCATATATAATCAATGAACCAGAAATTATATATTAACAATTATCAGTGAACCGACCACAGGCAATTACTCACGCTTACAAAAGAGGGTGAAAATGAACACATTTGGCTCCATCGCGTCTCCTTCCTACCACACGATTTCTAGAGTCGACTGCTCCGAGCGACTCCTAAAGTCAGATTGCTAGCGGCTTCTCCCGTCCGAGCCCCCAAATTTATTAATCATTCTCGCACTCATGAAAATTCTGTTCACTCAAAATCCTAAAATGGCAAGTTCCTCCTGGCCGATAACCTTTCCTGCGAAAGCGAGACTTGCTTCTGTGTCGTTCGCCTGTTTTGTCAGCATTTTCTATAAACTGTACAACTGAAGCAGAATGCCCGAGGAATGCGCTACGTCTGAAGGTGATCTCAGCTCTGGTTTCCGGCTGGCCAACCTGTGGTTCACCTAACGTATTTCAATTTACAAAACTTATAATAAATTTATAATCAATTGAACACAAGATCACCCCTTCATTAAATAAAATCATAATAGCCATACATTGGTATGTCTAAATTACCGGCCATATGACTAGAGTCCAATTTACATTTTTACCACCAGTTTCTGTGGTTTGTTCGAGACATTTTAATCAAATAGAAAAATTGTACATGGAATTTATATTATGATATATAAATATGGAAACATTTGAGTAAAGTGAATAAGTGGCTTTCTGCTGATTCTAAACAGCTCTGATGGGCGCGTATATCACTCAGAATTACTGAGTTATGGAAACGGGTTCAGATCCACGTTCGGAAAAGTTACTTTCGCTAGTTTTTTTTAGAATACGGGGCAATGGACAGGGTCCATAAACCCCGGAAATTCTTAGTCCTATTCTGTTTTGGTCACAAGGTTATTACACACGTTAATTAAAAAATACAGTAAAAAACTGGAAACTGATTGTGCTTCTTCGCTATGGCAATTTCTGTGCGAGTCTATTCATTTGTTATGAGCGTCTCTGAAGCAGAACATATCACAACATCTGCTTCCGGCAGATGCGATGTGGGGACCGCGGAACAGCGTGACTGCTCAGATGAACCAAGCTGTACAGAAAGGAGGACTCCGAGGGCTTTGCAGTTGTTCCGTTTCCAACAAGTAGGGAACCACAGGCACGGAAGACTGGAAAGTGGAAATGCCTTATAGTTTACATTACTTAACACATCCTCAAGGTCTTTCAGCCCCATGATCCTTTCATGTGCATAAAATGGCCAAAATATGACTTGACAATTTTAAAAAAAGTGATTAAATTTAATCAGTTATTTAAATGACAGAAAATGTCCTCAACCATCGCACTCTATAACATAAAAGTAAAATTATGTTTGAATTCCATCAAGTGTAGCTATGAAGTGTACTGTCTCCTGATATATAGCGCTGTGTAGCCCGTTGAAATTCAGCCGACGTTTCAGAGGGACATGTCGTGCCCGGCTTAATCGACACTAAATATGGAGGCGATATGTTCCTCCAAAACGTCGCTTGACCTTCACCGGACTACACAGCGCTATACATCAGGAGATAGTACACTTCATAAGCACTGCTGTGAGAACCTCAGATCCTACACGGCGCTATACATCAGGAGATAGTACACTTCATAGCCACTGCTGTGAGAACCTCAGATCCTAAAGTTGAAACTATATTTCCAATAAAATAAACACTTCACATGTTTCGGCCAGTGATGCCCCCTCCCCACACACAGGGCCAACACAATAAGGACGATCATCCATGAAGAAACACGAACACCACTGGGCTTCATAGCAAGATTCTAATCAATTGAAAAATCCAACGACCTCGGGAATCAAACCCACGACCTTCATGGTTGTAAAATATTGCCTCAACAAACTACGCTACCGTGTGCTCCCTGTATGAAATATATTTCTATTCAATTGTATATCTGTAACATAATATGGAATTTTAATTCAGCATGGGTGTTATCAACCACATCTTTTTTACTGCTCCAGGAGGGGCGGCCCCAGCTTTTGGGAAAACTATCCCAATGCTGACTTACTAATTAGAGCAGAAAATGTACAATGACGGTGATTATGACACCTCTTTTCTATATTAACATTTAAAGGTGTCAGTTATGTAATGAAACACGTTTACACGTGTTAACAACATTTGGATTTGTGAAAGACATGCAACGGGCCTGATGCTCAGTCGAATCTGTCTTACAAAGGAGCCGCCATTTGCTTCCTACGGCATTCCTTTCAAGCTTCATGCGTCGAATATAGTAATTCTGAGTTTTTTGTTTCAGCATCCCAAGCTCCTGCGTATTTCATGCTCTCTCGTATAAGTAATCAGCGCTGTCCGCCTCGAAACAGCATTGGCCGACAGCTACTTGTCTAGCTAACGCGACGTCAGGAACTTTCTGTTCTGAGAATAAATCCTCTAACAATTCTTTCTGCCACCGTGCATACTGGTATTACGACCATTGAAAGCCTACGACTGCATTCATCGACTTCTAGAATTTGTTCACACTAAAAACCCTTACTGTTATTCTTTTAAGGAAGTAATTTCTGTCCAATATTGGATACCTTGTGTCTGTTCTAATCAGTAATAAAGACAACGCCGTGCCGACACAGACTGTGGCCTCCAATACGTTGCGTGTTTCGCTTCATTGTTCCTCTTTCTTGACTTCTGACACCAGTTGTCACGTGTATGTGTGGCAATAGACGGGGTACGGATTGATGCCCGGCTTCATTGGACTCTTTTACATATCGCGCGAGATTACACTTTATAATTTACTATTACACACACACACACACATACACACTAGTGACCACAGTCAAGTCTCCAATAGCCGTTACTTTGCAGCGGCTTTCAACTGCAGACGTTCCCCTTCATCTGGGTTCCCGAACTGTCCCCGGCCTCAGCTACCAGCTTCTCACAACAAGAGCTCATAACGACTGAACTTCAACAGTTCTCTAACTCAGTCACTCACCAACCAACTAACTCAGATCAACTCAGATCAAACGTATACGTACTTTATGACTGGTTTTTAGCGTAAATCAGTTCGTCTTGGTGTCAAGCACCTTGAGGTTCATCACCAGAAAATTCTTTTTTTGCAACTAAACCCTAGCGTTTATAGTCCTTGTACATACGTATAACATCTTCTCTGACGAGAGGATGGGTTTGTCGCTTATGAACAGGCTTCACGTTTCATCAAATATACAGATCACACATATAACATTTTATTGAAAATTCTTCCTTTTGCAGTATACAGAAGTCATCTGTCAGGCCAGGCTTTGAAAAGCAGATCATGCCTATCTCACAGCGGCAGCTGAATCACTTGAACAGCCGTAAGCTTAACCACCGCAAGTTTCAGACACCTACCGCTTAAGAGTGCAGCACCTGCAAAACTGAACTCTCACTCAGAGTCAGAGCTACTTTACGACTGACGGTTTGCCGCCAATCAGTTCGTCTTGGCGCCAAGTCCCTTGAGGATGACGACCAGAGATTTTTTTCTAATTCACTGTCCTCCTTATACTATATCGGCACTGACCGCACAGAAAACACCTGTACTCTGTTGCAGTTTACGGGCTATTGTCTAGTAACGGCTGTTGTCGACTTGTTAGTTTCGCGGTTGTTGCTTATCAATGGGTCTACATGCTAAAGTACAATTTATTTTCCGAGTTTGCCAGTATCGCAGGCTACATAGCGTCGAATGATAGGATCATTGGTGAATAGTGAACTGGTAAGGTTGTGGAAGCGTTTGTTCTTAAGTGTATTCACTATCTCGGCATTTGCCTGAAATGAGTGAAGAAACACAGAAAATATGTCAGTCACGATAGTCGCTGGACAGGCCGAGATTTAAAGCCGGTCCTTCCCCAATACGAAGCGAAATTCTATTCAACTGACGTAATTCCTTTGTTTTACCTTCATGGTTGTTAAATAAGAGACACATTTTTTAACCTGCATATACTATTTACGTCATTTAGAAAACGCATACCACATGTAAAACACAGGTTTATTGGGTACGACTTCCTGAAACAAATGATCGTTATCTCTGTCCCTCTATCCGGTGCACAATATATCCTCTTTACAGATGCTCCCCAAACAGCAGAGGCCGTCTGTCCATCAAGACGCCCACAACATGATGGCAAACTACCTCGCTGCCTTGGGCCCTCTAATCACGGTCCTCCAACTCCTGGCGGCCGAGTCGCAAAAGGAGGACATCATAGTTACTGTGCGACAAGGACGTCTCAAGGGACTTCGCTTCGAATCTGTTCGTGGCCAAGAGCTACTTGCCTTCTTGGGCATACCTTATGCCAGACCACCAGTAGCAGAGCTGCGTTTCAAGGTAGGATTTGGTTAATTTGATTTGTTTCACTCTGGTCCGTCACACTAACAATTACAAAGACAAAACAACTCCGTCCAGTGTGACTGGTGAAGATTTTTCTTATTTCAGTTCTTCATGCCCTTACATGTTTCAACACAGCACGCCACGAACAAACACAGGACGATACCAAGAATCTCCTTCTCAAGATAGACAGGCGGCACAAGTTCAGCCCCCCTCAAGAAAGACGATAGGAGTAGTGACACGAACCTACTTGGTTTATAAATGTTAACTTAAACAACAAAGTTTTGAACACTTTAATATACCGGGAAACCTGCTGTAGTTGTGGAAAAGTTGGATATTGTGTATATTGTGCATTCTAGGTATTGTGTGTGTATGTATTTTAGCACTCAGAACACCCATTGTGATAGGCGTTTCCAAATAAGTATCGATGTTCCCTCTGAAGATGGTCCGTAAGGACCGAAACATGTAAGGGTGCTAAGTTTTCAAGTAATAAAAACTTAAATAGTCACACTAGACGGAGTTGTTTTGTCTTTGTATGATTTGGTTACCATCTCTTGTTATTTAGTGACATCGTTTCAACTACTAACTGTGCGTACCGTCGAGTGAAACACAGATGGTTGGAACATATTTTGTTGTGAAGAGTGGGCGACCAATGATGTGAAGTAATATCAGGTTCGCCTATGGAGGAAAAATTGTTACCAGAAGTAAATGACTGCAAGGAAGTCGGCAGAAAATATAAAACCGTCAATTGGAACTTGCGCTTGAGTAGAAAAATGCATCTGAATTTTACAAGGGGAAAGAATATCATACGCATAAATTATAATCAAAACGTCTTTGATGTGAAACATTACAGAAATGGCGACAAGAGGAAAGAGTGAGGTTATGTCTGACATTTTTCGTAGCATGGGAATAGGTCGGTTAACTTAAGGTCTATGATCTATGTTGGCCTTTATGCACAGATAGCAGAATTTAAAATACATAACGCGTGATGAATTCTCATTCTTTCGATGTGTTTAGACTACTTTTCTTTTCTTTTCGTCTCTCACCCCCTTCCCCCGCCTTTATCAAAGAAAGAAGAAGGGCTCATGGTCCCTTTCTGTTGCTGCCTGCAGACATCTGAAGCAGTTGACTAGTTTGAATTAATCCTGACGCGGAAGCCACGGTCAAGTTGTACTTTCTAATGTTTTAAAAATAGTTAAAATATTATGGCGGACTCAGAATTTCTACGGTAGGAGCGACACTGTTGAAAATTTTCGATCCCTAAAATGGAGTATGGCAATAGATGTTCGAAAGATGTGTAACCTTTGGCGAAATGAAGTTTTTATAAAATGTAAAATAATAACATGGCGTCCACGATTTTATTAGATGCCGATAAATAATGAAGTTTGGTATTGAGAACGATCATAAATATTCCATATATATATATATATATATATATATATATATATATATATGTATGAAGTACTCTGTAAGTCAGCAAATACTAACATGGCGAAGGTACGAAGTTCTTGAGGGTATATGCCAGAAATTTGGGGCACGCGTTAGCGCAGTTGGCTGAAGCACTATTCTACAAGCCGGAAGGTTGTGGGTTCGATTCTCGATTGGGTCACTGGATTTTTCAATTGACCTAATCCTTCCAGGTGCACTATGGCCCTGGATTCGACTTAGCCTCTGACAGAAATGAA